CTCTAAAATTAACAAAATGGCGGACCTTTGAAAAAATATTTTTGGAAAATCGCGAATTTTTACCAAAACCCAAGTCAAAAAACAAGTGAAAAAGCGGTAAGTTCGGCCGGGCCGAACTTTGGATACCCTCCACCATAGATATATTGACAGGTACTAGAAATGAAAATATAGGGAACATACCAAAAAGTGGACCTATACCGACATTTCTAAAAACGGATTATGTAAACCATAATTAAAAATTTTAGAAAATTTTAAAGGATAATTATACTCTCAGCCTTATGGCTAATGAGGGTGTATAGACTTTAACACGGTGAAAATGTGTCTCATCGAAATATTGGTTCTAGACCCCATGTTTCTTTGGACCAAATCCGTTTCAGAAAATTTAGATTTCATCCAAACTTTGCCCATCTTATTATTTCTTCCAAGCTTAGTTCAAATTCTCGAACTTCCAATCAGGGGCTAGGTCTAAATGCGGCTATAGTTAATTATCGAACCTTACGTTCTAATTGTTTATCTCTCTATCCTCCGCAGGTGAAATGATTACAAAAGAGACTTAGAACCAAACTCAAAACGCGGAACAAATCAGATAACTATTTTAATATAAAAAAGGGGGTTATATGGGGACTACCCCAAAAAGGGGGTGAATATTAAAAATTTTTGGTAGAGAGATTTGTTACCATATGCGACTACAAATTACCAAATTGCAGCAAATTCGGTTGAAAAATGCGCTCAAGAACCCCCAAATACCGAAAATTGGGGGTACCCTTATATGGGGGCTATCCGAAAAAATGGACCAATATTCATAATTTTTGGTGGAGAGATTTGGAACCTATTAGGAACCCAATGTACCAAATTTCAGCGTATTCGGTTGAAAAACGCGCTCAAGAACCCCAAAATTCCGAAAATTGGGGGGTACCCTTATATGGGGGATATCCGAAAAAATTCACATATGTTTATAATTTTTTGTGGAGAGATTTGGTACATATTAAGAACTCGAAATACTAAATTATAGCCAATTCGGTGGAAAAATACAATCAAAACCCCCAAAATACTGAAAATTAGGAGGTACCGTTATATGGGGGCTACCAGAAAAAGTGGACCTATATTTATAATTTTTTGTGGGGACATTAAGTACCCAATAAGAACCCAATGTACCAAATTTCAGCGTATTCGGTTGAAAAACGCGCCCAAGAACCTCAAAATACCGAAAATTGGGGGGTACTGTTATATGGGAGCTATGTCTAAACGTGGACCGATATATCCTATCTTCGAACTTGACCTGCCTGCAGACAAAAGACAACCCTATGCAAAATTTCAGCATCCTATCTCAATTCCTTCAGAAGATAGCGTGATTACAACAGACGGACGGACGGACAGACGGACGGACGGACGGACGGACATGGCTAGATCGTCTTAGAATTTTACCCTGATTAAGAATATACATACTTTATGGGGTCGGAAATGAATATTTCGATGAGTTACAAACGGAATGACAAAATTAATATACCCTCCATACTATGGTGGAGGGTATAATAAGGAAGATCTTCACCGATTGGCTTTATCCTAGTTCATACGATAGCTACACACTCACAGAGAAACGTGTAAAAATTTGAAATCGATTGGGTTATTAGTTTTTGAGTTATCGTGCCCGCCATTCGCAAAAAAATGTTTAGAGAAAAACGCGTTTAAAGTTTGAGAAGCCCTTCAGCCGTCACTTGATGCTGACACAATAAATCGGCTATATTTTCAAGAGTTCTTGAGATTTTCATTTGAAATTTTGTAGGGAAATTCTTTAATTAGTGTAGATTCGAATTATATCAACAAAATTTTTGACCCCGAGAATGGGGGGGTCCCCTTATGTTGAGAGTAGCGGCTATGACCTCCAGGGACACGAACCCCCACCTTACTGAGGCTAGCTCATTATGGCTCCCAGTCCTTGTGAGGTCCAGAAATCAATTTCTAATATGACCGGAACTTCCGCTACCCTCACTGGGAAACGCCCAGTTGATCAATTTGTACAGGACAGATTTCAACGAAACTTAGGACACACCATTCAAAACTTATTTTAATACGCTATGCACAATTTCGTGTAAATCGAAAGAAAAGGGCTCTGATGGTCTATTTACATAAAATCGCACTAAAATATATAGCATTTCCAGATTAAATGAAACCTTTTACAAATTAAATGAAACCTTTTCCAAATTAAATGAAACATTTTCCAAATTAAATGAAACCTTTTCCAATTGGAATGAAACCTTTTCCAAATTAAATGAAACCTTTTCCAATTGAAATGAAACCTTTTACAAATAGAATGAAACTTTTTCCAAATTAAATGAAACCTTTATTCTTATCCAAGGAAATATAATATTTCCAGTAATTTTAAATCAATATTTGAAAATTAAATCAAAGAATATTAACAACTATAGTTGTATGGCTATGTAATTAACATAAACTTTAATTCGGTGTGATTTTATTTTTCTTCTGAGACAAAAATATGCTCAAGACTTTACAAAATAGATACCCCAACAACGATCAATATATATTGGGGATACCCCAATCACACAATCATTTCTAATTCCAGTGTCAATGCAGACAGATTTAAATTATTTATAGAAAGTCTTTTGGAGGAAATCAATCCAGAGTTGGAAATTTCGTTCTTGATAATGGATAACGCTCAAATACACAAGCGACATGACATAAAAAATTTTATCGAATCCAAAAGATGCAAAAATTCTTAAATTCTCCAATGGTAAATCCAATCGAAAAACCATTTTTAAAAATAAAATTATATACAAAAGCTGAGCTGCGTGACGTTTCAATGGAACATAACATTGTTGATGTAATCGAGCGAAGTATTCAACAGCTTACTCGGCAAGATAATTCTAACTACGTTATGGACATGCAAGTCGGGAACCCCTTCATTAAGATAAGCAGTTACCTTGTCAAGAAATACCCCAGTTTGTATTACTCTTTTTTTAGTTTTATTTAGTAAAGATATAAAATAAAATCACACCGAATTAAAGAATATTTATGCTAATTACATAGCCATACATCTATATTTGTTAATATTCTTTGATTTAATTTTCAAATATTGATTTAAAATTACTGGAAATATTATATTTTCTTGGATAAGAATAAAGGTTTCATTTAATTTGGAAAAAGTTTCATTCTATTTTTAAAAGGTTTCATTTAATTTGGAAAAGGTTTCATTTCAATTGGAAAAGGTTTCATTTAATTTGGAAAAGGTTTCATTTAATTTGGAAAAAGTTTCATTTAATTTGTAAAAGGTTTCATTTAATCTGGAAATGCTATATATGGGAACTATATCTAAATCTGAACCGATTTCAACTAAACTTAACACTTGCCTTTCCAAACATAGTTAGTTTGGTCTCAATCGAACATATATTGGGTGTTTGGTGCACAATTTACATAAAATCAGACGAAAATGTATATGGGAGCTATATGTCAGAAGTTTCTTACCCCACATGGAATACCGAATTATAGGCAATTTAAAGGGTATTTTGTTACAACTTTCAAAGTACCTAAAACAGGACTCTGCCAAAATAAACCAAGGACGTTTTTCGTATTGGGGCGATATAAAAACTTGACCTTTTACTGGAAAATGTTTGGTTATACCAATTGATAAGCTGAAATCAGGGATGGTCCGTGTGACAAATATTTAGGGTTTCGACTGTCAAAAAGGTGAAAACGTCGAAAACGTCATATACCTGTATAAAATGTAATAAATGTAGTAAACGTCATTTATTTCAATATTATCAGCATATACAGTTATTTTCAAGAATATATATTATTTTTACATATATCTGACTACTCCTTACTAGAACTGATAACAAATTCTAAACTTTTTTGAGAAGAACATTTTGAAATTTAATATGGACTTGAGTAAAGCATACGTAATTTCCAAATAGATTAATGGAAATAGATACTTTGTCAAAAACCTAATTGTTTTGGGTGGGTTTCCGACTTTTCTGACGTATGTATTATACGTCGGAAATGTATGTCATATACGTCACTGTTTCTGACGGGCCATCTCTGGCTGAAATACCACACAAATAGTAAAGTAAAATTAAAAAATGGGGTCTCTGGGTCCAAGTTTTCATATAACCCCCAATTAAATGTATTTTTTATCTATTAGACACAATTTACGATCAAATTGGATGTAATTTGGCACAAAGAGTTATCTATGGGTACCAAATATCCATGCAAAAATTTATTGATGTAGGTTCACGTTTTCTGGTAGCCCCCATATAAAAGTACCCCTATTTTCAGTATTTATTATTGTTGTTTTCAATTCTATATAGCTAATTTATTACGATAGCGTTTGTCGTATTTTTTATATCCTTTCATAATGTTAAAAAATAGGCAGGTCAAGTTTTAAAATTTGCCCTGTTTTAGGAGATATCAATATTACTTCAAATTAATATAAGATTTCTACCTTTTTGTACTTTTACGCTTTTCCTTCTAAATAAGCTTGCTATTAAAAGTCCTCATTTAGTGTAGTCGTTATTTTGCAATAAGTCCTTTAAATGTTGTTAGTATATGCCCACATTTTATCACACATAATTCAGATATCAAGAGCATGTCCTGCTGAGATAGGGGAACTGGTGACCTCACTTTTTTGTTCCCAATTCTATATAGCTAATTTATTACAATAACGTTGGCGTATGCTTTCCCTCAGAATACAGAAAATGGGCAGGTCGAGTTTCAAAATTTGCTCTGTTTTAGAATTTGTACCGCAAAAATAAAGCTCGGCATTCTTAATGCAAACACTATATGTTACTTTATATATATTATTTATTACTTATTTTCACATTTGTAGGTTAATATATTTAGCAAAATTGACTTAGTTATATTTTCTATAGTTTATTCTTATTTTATTATCATAAATTCTATATAGTCGTAGAAAATTGGCCAACAGAGAACTGCAACTAAAACATAACAACATCATATGCATCATATGTATATGTACGTGTGTGCCTTCACAGTAACAAAGCATCGACTCAAAACGAAACTGGAAGAAACTTAGCGACTGTTGTTGAGGGCGGCCTGCTATAATTTGGTGACCAAAACTAATTTCAGCCACAGCATTACTGCACTCAGGCACAGTACGGGAGGCTTGAGGTTGCTTCCCTGAGAGCCTAAATTAGCCTGCATTAAATGCTCCTGACATGGGGCGATTTCCGCTATCCGCACATCACCTATGCGGCGACCGTTCATTTCGATGGGTGAAATACAGTAATTGTTCTGTAGAAGACTGCGTGTGGCATTTGGCGTCTTGGTGGCGAAGGGACTTTCCAACAGATTGTGCAGTTGACAACCACAGGGAAAGTAGTTGTCGCCCAACTCCAGGTTGTCCACACCATCCAGACAAATGTCATCCGCTTCCGGTGTTTGCAGGAAATGATTGCCATGTAATTTGAGATGTTTTATGGCTGCTGTGTCATTGAAATCCAGTGCCTCGATAATGTCAATCTTGTTGTTCAACAACTGAAGTGTATCCACCTGAGTTAGTCCGGCGAATGCCTCACCACTGATTGTGCCCAAATCCGACTCCTGTATTGTGAGAAGAAGCACATTGGAGAGACCTCGAAATGTGAATGGCTGGATATGCTCGAGGTCCATGTAGGCCAATTTGAGCAGCCCGACTGTGTACATACCAAAGAAGGCATTCGGCTCAAGTGTTCGTATGCCAGCAGGCAGCAGAAGATGACCAACTTGTGTCAGGCTGGAAAAGGCAAAACTCTCAATGCGTAACAATGGATTATTGGTCAGCAGTATTAGCTTGACATTGGATGTCCCGGCAAATGCGTAAGCCTCTATACTGGCAATCTGGTTGTGACTTAGCAATATGGTGGACAGATTCTGTAGGCCAGCAAAGGCAAAGCTCGTTACCACCTGCAGGGGGGTGTACTGTATGGAGAGCTCCTTAAGACGAGGCAGACCACGGAAAGCAAACTGCTTAATTTTGGTTATGTTATTGCCGTCGAGAGATAATTTCTTCAGTGAACGAAGGCCGGCAAACGAATCGGGTTTAATGACAGCAAAGTGATTTTTAGTCAGGGATAAATGTTCGACATTGGTAGGCAAATGGCGTAATGGTATATGATTGAGTCCTCCGGTATTACAGAGTACCTAAAAAGAAATGCAATATAAGTTGTGTATTAAATTCAATGTAAATGAAATAAAAAACAAAAATGGACATATGTGTTTTGAAATATTGTTTAATTGATGCGGTTAGAACTTTTTATTCAAAACCAGCGTGCCCAGCAAACGTTGTCTTGCCATAGCAATATTGTTAAGGAATAATTTTCGGTATTTTAGATTTGTTTTTCAATTTCCATTCATACTTGCGGAAACAATTGTGTTGGTAAGAAATATTCATGGCGTAGGGGATGATGGATACCAAGCAACGGCTCTGATTGGCTTTAACATAGTGAAGCTCAGGACACTGAACTTCCAGCGGTGTCACCTGAGGTAAATATTTTCATCACCCGTTGAAATAGTCAGCTGATATATGCCGCGAGAACTATAACAAATGGGTTGAGGTGTCGGGTTAGTTGCCCAAACTAGAAAAAAAAATTAATACTATGAAAAATCAACGAAAAAGAAAACCAAACAGGTTGTGATAGACGGAAGGCATTCATCCAGTATCTTAGACGTACCAGCCAACGTTCACTCTCGTCTGTAGAAGCCAAGGTTCGCACCCGTCTTAATGTAGCAGCAAATGTGCGATCTAATGTAACACGGAAACTCGACGTCGAAAAGCTGCAAACACAAATCGAGATATACACATCTCCCTGTAGATATGAAGAAGGAAACCTGGTGACAGATACAGACAGCGTGTTGAGGATCTGGAAGGAGCATTTTGAAAAGCTTCTAGTATCAAATAGTGGCGGTGAAGAATATACCCCAGGACCAATAAGAAATTACGGTATGAGGTCAGAAAAGCAATTAATCGGCAGGAGAACAATAAAGCAGCAGGAGCCGATGGGTCAGCAGCCGAATTATTCAAGACTGGTGGTCAGATGCTGGTCAGGAGCATGCACCAGCTGATTAGTACAATCTGGCTAGAGGAATGCATATCCAATGATTGGAACCTCTGCATCCTGTGCCCCGTGCACAAAAAAGGAATTAGAGGAATTAGTCTCCTTCCCATCGCATATAAAGTGCTATCTAGTGTGTTGTGTGAACGACTGAAGACTTCAGACGTGGCAAATGCATCATTGACCAGATTTTCACTCTGGGCCAAATCCTGTAAAAGACCCACGAAAAACACATCGACATATTCCACCTATTCGTCGACTATAAAGCCGTATTCGACAGCCCTATCCGTTCAGAGGTGTTTAAAAACCATGTCTGCGTTCGGCATTTCTGCCAAATTAATACGGCTATGCATCGGATCTCTTCAATACCGAACAAGGATTCAGACAAGGTGACAGTTTGTCGTGTGATCTTTTCAACGCAAATGTGAACAGAAATGGCACTCTGTACAAAAACAACATGGGACGAACATTGCGAGTGGTAACAGCCACCTTTGAACAAATTGCTGCCTGCCAAAGTGGGTCTATCAGTAAATGGCGAGAAGACCAAGCTGATGGTATCAACGCGCAAGACGTCCAGTAGACTCGGACCAACTGTGGAACTTGAGAACTACAGCTTCGAGATAGATAAAGATTTTATATACCTTGGTACCAGCATAAATAAAACGAATGACATCAGTTTTGAAATTCGGCGAAGGATAGTGATGACCAACAGATGTTACTATGGTCCAAGTAAGCAGTTTAGAAACAAGGCCACTTCCCGCCAAACCAAACTCACACTTTACAAGACGCTGATACTACCTGTGCTGTTATATGGATCAGAAGCATGGGCACTTGCGCAAGCAGATGAGGCAGCGCTTGGAGTGTTTGAGAGAAAAATTCTCCGAAAAATCTACGGGCCGATCTGCGTCGACGGTGAATATCGGCGTCGAAGAAACCACGAGTCGTATTGAGCTGCATCGACTACGGTAGATCAAAAGGCATATAATGATGGTTCACGCAGAAGGGGAAGGGCACTAATTAGATGAAAAACATCTTGGAGCCTGGTCCTTCAAATTGGAGGAGATGCGCACAAGACCGACGCGATCTTTCTAAACTCGACTTATAGAACAACCGTTCTGAAACAAGCCAGCTAAGTAAGTAAGTAATATGGAAGTTACAAATACTTTTTACTATATTATCTAAAATATCCAAATGAAGATTTTTATTGAAAACTGTTTAGAATGAAGCTGATTTCTTATAAATGTCAAATTATTTAACATTCGCTGTAACCGTAAAATGTAAACAAAGTACGAAGTGTATTTAGGCCAATTTTTTAATATTCCTTTTTCAAAAAATCGTTTTTTTATTTTCGTGGTACATCAAGGCTTTTTGGGTGCAGATAAAGAGAAAACTTTTCTGACTCCGAAACCGTTCGTCATCAAATTTTTGGTTGATGCGCGCAAATCTTATCAAGTTTTTAATTTTGGGTATAAGAAAAAAATATGAATATATTAATATACGAGCGTTGTTTGCTCTCTCATTCGTTGTTCGACCCTTAATTATGAAGTAATTACTTAGTTCCCCATACAAAATTGTCTGAGCGAACACCGATTTTTGTACGTTGTTCAATTCCAATCACTCTCTGAATCACCAAGAAATTTGTCCCATCCCTAACAACATTATACGATCCTTTGGGGATTATACGATCCTTTAGGGGATTTGCACACGTTTTTCCACCTAATCAGCTGTAATTGGTTGTTTTATTTGGTAGCATGAATCCTACTAAAATTGTCAATATCAGTTCACTCTTCTGTATTTTGGGGTTTAGGTTCTATAAAGATGATCATTGATCCGGATTATAATGGTAGCACCCATATAATGGTATCTGTGGTGTCAATACCAACAATTAATTAATCATCATTCCCAGAAATTATAGAATATGTCTATAGATTAACGTTTTAGAAATACGTCATAATTATTTCCCGTTCAATTTTCGGTGTGTTGAAGTTCTTATTCCCGTTTTCCAACCTGAGTGTGATATGATATACTTCTCAATTATTTGTTGTATTCTCTTAAAAAATTTTTAATACAATGTCAATCCAATTAAAAAAAAATATTTAGAAAATTTTCAATAATTGACAAATGTAGGCTTAATGGAATGATACGCTACCGATTTTCGCCAAAAATATCTCAAAATAACAACTACGACGTGGTGCAATTCAAATAGCTCGATACTAAATTCGTGAAAATGCCAATATGTTGCAATATACTTTTTGCAAAATTTTCGCGTTTTTTGACTTTTTCTCACCTTTAAAACCTTCCCTGGAGCTCCACGAACATTTTAACATTCAACATTGCCGACCCGGCAAACGTTGTCTTGCATACAATATTGTTGATGTATAATTCACATAACGATAGCCCAATATTAAATTATCTTTAGGATAGTGGTCTGAAATTTGCACATACATTGAAATTGCGCAGAAAGTGTCCGTACCAAATATTATCAATATTGGCCCATGTTTCGGTGTACCGCCCACATAATGGTAGCCCTTAACATTCGGTATTTTGAAGATCTTAGGCACGGTTTTCAACAGAATTGCTTTTAGTTTAATATAGGGGATACTTATTGAACAGAAAACCTACTACATAAAATTATCAATATAGGCCCAATTATCCAGGTAACCCTATAATATTCGGTATTTGGCTGTAATTTTACATTTTGGATGATCATTGAGTAGAAAATGTTCCTAAGAAAATTTAACCAAGCTTCCGAAAACCTCCATATAATGGAACTCCACATTATAGAATGCTTTGGGGATCAGCTGTAATTAGTTGTTTTATTTGGTGAGTCCAAAATCTCCTTACAAAGAATTATCAATATTGGTCAAAGTTTGTGGGTTGGACCCATATAATGGTATCCCCCATAATTTCTCATGTTGTGTAAAATCTTCCTACCTGAATGGACACGAACGCGATTCAGAATCTCTTCTGATTTTCCATCCTTGCATTAGTCCCTCAATGTATTTGCATTCTATAGACGACCTAAGTCAGTTCGTCTTCTCCTCGGCATCTTAACGTTATTAATTAATGACGCTAAGATGCCGAACAATAGTGTAACTATCACAGGGTCACTATCTCAAAGGATAACAAAAGTAAAGAAAGTTCTTGCGCACGTATCGGTAATCGAAATTTAATCCTTTCAGAAAATTAATTTGTGACAATATTTAAAATTTATCAAACTTAAAAAAAAAAACAGTAAGGAAAGTAGTAAAGTCGGACGGGGCCGACTATATGATACCCTTCACCACTATGGGTATATTAAACAGAACTATTAACATAAAATTGGATGAAAAAAAAAAATATGTGATATTTACCAAACTGTGAATCTACCTAGATCTATCCATAAAGTATGTCAATCGACTTCAAACAAGTATAAAGAGGTCATCCGTTGGGCTATGTCGGTACTTCTAGAAAACGCAACTATCTGACTAACATGAGGAGTTTGATGCCCAATTTACTTGAAATCGGGCGAAAATATATATGGAAGCTCTATCCAAATATTAAGCGATTTCAAACAAACTTGTCACAGGTTAGGTTGTACTAATTTCAGAACGTTTTGTTTCTATTGGTTCCTTAGTACGTCAATTACTTAAAATCAATCTATAATAAAATGGAGCTATATCTAAATCTGGACCGATTTTCACGAAACAAGGCAGACATCATTCTAGGCTCAATTAAGTATGTTATGCCAAATTTTGTGCAAATCGAAGAATATATAGGGACTTTGGTGCACCTTTTACATGAAATCGGACGAAACTATATATGGCAGCTATATCTAAATCTTGACCTATTTTCACGAAACTTGGCAGACAGTACGTTATGCCAGATTTCGTGCAAATCGAAAGATATATAGGGACTTTGGGGCACTATTTACATGAAATCGGACGAAACTATATATAGTAGCTATATCTATATCTGGACCGATTTTCTCCAAACTTGGCAGATATCACTCTAGGCTTAATTCAGTACGTTATGCCAAATTTCGTGCAAATCGAAAGATATATAGGGACTTTGGAGACCCATTTACCTTAAATCGGACGAAAATATATA